GGGTTGGGGGGAGAGGGAGGGGGTGGAGTGGGTGGTAAGGGAGGGGGTGGGGGCAGGGGGGAGAAATGAACCAAGCCTTGTATGCACATATGAATAAAAAAAAAAAAAAGAACAAGTGCCAGGAAACTGCATCTACCTTTCTTGTGACTTCATCTCATCCTTATATCACAGGATGTTCTATAAATTAAAATGTTACTAGCTGTATAAAAATCATACTTAACATCTTTACACTGAAGTATGTAACATACTATGGCATATTAGATCTGTATTCTATAAGTTTTATAGATGTTAGGGACTAGTCCAGTTGCCGAATGATAAAGGTGAGGATGAATTTTTTGAGTGCAAATGAAAGGTGTGCTGAGGTTTCCATGGTCTGTGGCCTCTTTAACAGAGAAATACTTTCTGGTTTTTTTTTTTTTTTTTTTTTTTTTTTTTTGGCAGCACTGGGGTTTGAACTCAGGGCCTCACTCTTGCTTGGCAGGCGCTCTTACCACTTAAGCCATTCCACCAGCCTACCACAGGGAAAAACAGTTTAAATGCCACCAGGGACTTTGAACCTGAGTACAGAATGCTTGTACTAAACTTGAAGTTTAGGCCATAAATTTTCTCAAGAATTAGAATCAAGACCTGATTGAAAAGGCACATCAAATTTGAGTTAATGTGGTGGTTCTTTGTGACTATCTTTGCTTCTTATTAAGCAAAAATCTAATACAATTTCTTTTCTTTTTTTTTTTTTTTTCATTTTTCTTTTATTATTCATATGTGCATACAAGGCTTGGTTTATTTCTCCCCCCTGACCCCACCCCCTCCCTTACCACCCACTCCACCCCCTCCCGCTCCCCCCCTCAATACCCAGCAGAAACTATTTTGCCCTTATCTCTAATTTTGTTGTAGAGAGAGTATAAGCAATAATAGGAAGGAACAAGGGGTTTTGCTGGTTGAGATAAGGATAGCTATACAGGGCATTGACTCACATTGATTTCCTGTGCGTGGGTGTTACCTTCTAGGTTAATTCTTTTTAATCTAACCTTTTCTCTAGTTCCTGGTCTCCTTTTCCTATTGGCCTCAGTTGCTTTAAGGTATCTGCTTTAGTTTCTCTGCATTAAGGGCAACAAATGCTAGCTAGTTTTTTAGGTGTCTTACCTATCCTCACCCCTCCCTTGTGTGCTCTCGCTTTTATCATGTGCTCATAGTCCAATCCCCTTGTTGTGTTTGCCCTTTGATTAGTTTTTTTACCTTGGACGCTGAAATGTGCATTGTTCATATGGCAGTCTCAGGAGTTATTTAACTCATATCTAAATTCAGTTGAATACTTTATACAAACAAGATTTAGTCCTCCCTTGCAAAATGTTGAAATATTTGAGAAGTTGGAATGCATTATTGATAAGACCACTGTCTCTAGTGCTTACCAACTGCATATGGGCTCTCCATTTGTGGGCTTTCGACATCCCCCTTGCTACAAGCTCAGGTTACATGTTTCTGGACTCCAGTTGCCCCCAGTTGCCCTTAGGGAATTACTAAGAATAAAATATGACTTAAAATTTGAGAATTCATCTCCTCTGCCACAGAATGAAGACTAATCTGAATATTCCCTTACTTCCCCAAAATAAATCGAGAAAATTAACTTTAACCAAAATCTTTTCTCCTACCACTTGAACCTATTTTTCTTGATTGGCTTCCATGGAAACAGATTAATAAGTCATAAACATTCAGGTATTTCTCTGTATAGATTTTTAATCTTGTTTCAATACCGGCCATCCCTGTCTGTGGTCTTGGGCAAAAAATGCCAGTACTTTGACAGTTGAAACTTCTTTAAAAATTACTGTGTACTTACTCTGTTTAGTTTTCATTACACATTTACATTAAGGGAACTAGATCCTTCTAGTACCGTAAGAAGAAAGGATATGTTTGTTATCTTTGAACATTTGAGCTCAGTTTAAAACAGATACTAATGTTTTGAGTGGTATTTATTTTTCTCCATACTTGAAATTGAACCCAGAGCCTCAAGCATTGAGCCATAGACAGTATCTCATTAACTTTGCCCAGGCTTGCTTCAAACTGTTGATATTTCTGCCTCCACCTCTCACATAGCTGGGATTACAGGTATGAACCACCATGCCTGGCTCATTTTTCTTTAGAATGTCAGGGCTCCAGTTTTTTGAGGGGCAGTTCTGTTGATTTCTTTACCTTCATTTTACTAAGTATCTAATCCAGTTATGTCTGCCTTACTTAGCTTTCTGAGAGGTAAGATGTGGTTCATTCACCAGCCAAATGAACACACCATTCCTGCCTGGGGCATCTGTGCTTCTGTGTGGAGCTCCCATCTTAGTGACTGGGACTGGGCAGCAGATAACCTTTCAGGATCTCCTCTCACGCCCAACTTTCTATACTAAACCAAGCAACAAGATCTATCTAAATTCTGCTGAGTGTCAGCCTCACTCCTGGTGCTTCTGAGTTGAAGTCCTTGTAAGTAAAAGCTCCATCAATCTTTAATATTCTTACTCTGAAGGGAGAAAAGAGATCTTAATATGATCTCTTTTTTTTACAGTGTGTTGATCACACTGTATGGCCATTATGTACAGATCTGTGACATGAAGCTCTGTCCACTCAGTAGAAGCAGTACAATGTTCTTCATACAAACATGCTATGGAGTGAATTATCTGTGTGTTCTGGGTCTGTGCCAACTCCAAGGGGGTGCCTTTTCTTAACTAGTAAAATTGTGGTAGTGGAGGTCCTGTTGCGTGAGTTTGCTAGCTGAGATATGGGACTCTTGAGGCAATTAGCAGGAAGCAACCTTTTATTGTGCCAGCATAGACTCAGTGGACTCATGTCCAAAGCCCAGAGAACAAAGGGGTCTCACCTTATATACCCTTGCCAGCAAGGTCTAAAGACCAGCAAAAAGCAAGGTCTAATCCATATATGGATTTAATTTTATTGGCTACTTTAACCCTAGTGCTATGTGACTTTCCCCTCCCTGGTGCTATGTGACCTTCTTATATTCAGATTTCTCAGATTTTATCTCTCTGCTATGCAATCCCCACCTCCCTGCTACTGTCCCACTCCTTTGGTTTTTGTAAATTGAGACAAAATTCATGTAACATCAAGAAATCACTTTAAAGTATATAATTGAGTGATATTTTGTGCTTTCTTAATGTTGTACAACCACCACCTTTATCTAGTTAAAATTTTTTTATCACCCCATAATTTTTAAGTAATCACTTCTCATACCCTGTAACATAACATGTGGCCCACTACATTGATTTTATGACCAAATATTTTATCCTGTAAAAGGAGCATCCCATTATGTGTCTTTTATCTCATCTTTGCTTTATTCCAGAAATAAAGATAGTATTCATCTTTGTCTTATTGTCTGGAAATTAGAATATGAATGGTGATAGTATGTAGACAATATCATGTTCATTTAAATCCATCCCTACAATAAACATTTCTTCTCTGCTTTACAGTACACAAGGGGATTGTATAGGTATTATAAAAACATCAATTGAGGGCTGGGCAGAGTGCCTCAAGTCTATAATCCTAGCTAGTCAGGAGACTGTGATCAGGAGGATGGTGGTTGGAGGCCAATACAGGCAAAAATTTCATAAGACCCCATCTCAACCAATGATGGGGTATGGTGGTACATGCCTGTCATCCAGCTATTCAGGGAATCACAAATAGGAAGATAATAGTCTAATCTGGCCTGGTCATAAAGTGAGATTCTACCTCAAAAAATAACCACAGCAAAAAGAGCTGGCAGAGTGGCTCAAGTAACAGAATGCCTGCTTAGCAAATACAAGGCCCTGAATTCAAATCCAGTACCATCAATTTTTTTCCCTTTTATCATTTTCCAAAGTATATGTTGAGGATCATTAGTGTTACAGGATGTTAACAGGTAAAATAATAATAATAGAGGAGGTCCTGCATAAGTCATATGGGAGGGATTGATATAGAGGTTTCTTTATTGCAGGCCATCTTAGCCCTTTTAATATTCTAATGTGATTTATAAACCTTCAAGGCAACAACAATGCATACAAGATTATTTGTCCATTGGACATCTGAAAGGATTCATTGTCTGTGTGTCACTTTTTAAGGAAGTGATCTACTTACTGGTGCCTGGAAAATGTCCTTTCCAGGATTGTAAGCAATCCTACTCAATTTTTAGATTAGAAGTAGTTGCCCAGGCAAGTGAAGGAAGTTGCTTAAGAAGTCATGGATTATTAGTTACAAAGCTGGTACTAGAAATCAGAATACCTTTACACCTTATGCTATTATTACATGACCCTGTGTTTGTGGTCTTTCTCATTTTATATTATAATTCTGAATACCTTTGAAGATTGAAAGAGTTATATGCAGACTCATCTGTGAATGACTGAATGGGTTTGATAACACCTCAAGCAGATGAATGTTGTAAACTTCCTTTTAGTAAAATTGCTCTTCTGGAACACTGAGCCCCCCACTTGGCACAAGTAAGGATCTTGGGAAGTAGTTCCTAACTACTGCTGTGTTCTTTTAACCATACATTTTGGTTGCAGAATATTGGGCCATGTAATGGCAAAATAAAGTAAAAACACTTTTAAAGACTGTTATTAAAAGAACAAAAAGAAAGAAAACCCATAGTGCCATATTGAGATTTTTGAGAAATACTAGTATCCTAATATCATTAACCGATCCCATTGAACACAAAATTCTAAGAATGACTTTCTCATTGAAGAGATGAAATTTTTTTATTATGTCCAAGTCCCAACGAGCTATTGAAATATTTCAAATAGTATTTATAGACAAATATTATACATTGCTTTTCACACTGTAGGTCTTCTGTTGATATTCAGATCTATGGAAGATTTCTGGTCTTCCATTGAAATGAATTTAACTCCTGGGATAGTATATAGCTGTGTTACAAGAGGTTGCCAGCTGGTTTATGGATATTGGAGTTCAGAAGACTGTTGAGACTTTACTTGATTAGTTTTGAAGGTCCATCTTCTCAGGATTTCCATCAATTTTCAACAGCTGGGCTCACAGCAGGCGGGCTCAGAGCAGGTGGGCTGGCAGCAGTAGCAACAGCAGGCTGGGCGGCAGCAGGACTGTCCACAGTAGGATGGGCGGCAGCAGGAGGCCTGGGCATGGTGCAGCTGGCAGCAGGTTGGGGGTGAGCTGCTCACCACACAGCAGGGGGGCAGGCAGGTGCCCTCCACGCGGCAGTCTGGGCGGCACCACCTGACACGGCAGCTCCCGGTTCCACAGCCACCCTCCTGGCCACCTCCCACACCACAGCTGGTTCCACAGCAGCTGGACTGGCAGGAGCTTGGCTGGCAGCAGCTGGAGCCGCAGTTCCCACTGGTGGAGAAGCTGGGAAACCCACAGAAGCCAGTGGAGCAGCAGGCCATGGTGTCAGGAGTTGGATTGAGACTTGTGTTGTGAAGAGAAGTTTCTGAGTTTTAAGTGTTTATTCCACCTCAGGCCTTTTATACGCCTTGACCAGTTTCTCCGTGACAGACAGCATTTTTGTCTTGTTACTCTGAACTAGCTTTTCTAGGGCCCACTGATTGTTCCAATGCTGTGTTACTTTAAATATATCTCCAAACTGGTTTTTTCCTTATTGCTCAGACAATACTCACCAAATGTGCTCATCCTTGGTAGAAATGTTGATGCTACACCTACAAAGAGTGCAATAATTTCCACTTAAGCCACAGCTTCAATTTTGTGTTTGTGGTTATAGCACCTGACAAGGTGACTCTCACTCATAAAATGATGCGATTTTGGAGTTTTAGTCACCAAAACTCAAATTATTAGCCATGGTTGTTCTTCATGTAAGATTATTTTTGTGTTTTTTTGGATTGGTAAGATCATGGCCTCTACGATCATCCAGGTAGAAACTGTGCTAAGTTCCACATTCATAGAAATTCAAATCCTTCCAGATGCTGGAATTTTCTAATGTCTGCGATCTCTCTTGAACTTCAGATATTCATACTTGAAACATTTATCACTCAAGAGGATATATGAAACAAAGCCTGTTCCAATTTAATTTCTAAAAAGTAGCTAAAATTCATATTCATTAATTGGAAAAATTGCAAAATATTTTTAGTGATATTTATACTTCAGTATTAAAAATAGAAATTACTGCCATATAAGTTATTTGGACAGTATTTACTTCTCAAAGGCAGGGTTTACTTTCTGTTCATGTCACTTTATATCATGACACCATATACCCTATAAAAGAATATTGGACCAAAGAACATGACGGTTGAATTTATGAAGAGGAACCAATGAAAGAAAAAGAAGGGAATGGGAAATACTTTTTTTCTAGACTATAGTGTTTGCAAGGCACATTAGGAAATGAATGATCAACTATGGTTCAATTTGTCATGTATAGGAATAAGTGCAAAAAGGAAGATGAATGTTAGTAAAAGTAGAAGCAATTCCTGGTAGTTGCCAAAAGAAAGGAGTTAATTCTCAACTGAGTGTTTAGGGTTACATGAAAGGAAATGAAAAGAAGTGATGGCCAGAAAACATATTGTTGCCACTTATAATATGCTTATTTTTCATTTTCAATAATGAACAAAAACACAGAGTTAACTTTTTATGAGGTGGAGATACTCGTTTGTATTATACTAGAATATGAGTCATGCCAGTTTCAATAAAGATGTTATTTTACATGGTATCTATGACTGTAGGCATAAACTGAACATGGTTCTATCCAATAATTGACTAGTGGACATAAAATATTAATAAACCATCTTTTTAAATCACTTAATATTGTAAGTATAGCAATTGACATCATTCTTAATATAAGTAGCATGTGTTTATTTAATTCTGTTATGTACAAAACACTAAAGGATAACAGAAAGATTCTTTTTGTTTCATTTTTTACTCCAGTGCACTCAGTGTGGTATTAATAGGAGGGACTGATCCAGGAAATGTGACAAATATAGAAACCATTCAACCTCAAAATTCTAAATTGGAACATTGGAATATTCAGCATCAATGCTAGAATATTACTGAGTCTGGGAATGGCTACGTTTTGGAGAAGTTAAGTGACTTTATATTCACACATTACACAGTCAGAGGAGCTGGGTATAAAGTTCCTATCCTTCTTTTCCTAGACCCTTTTATTTTACATCATGCAACTTGCAAGGATCAATTAGTATTAGTAAAACTCTGCCTCTCAAATGTTTTATACTACTTGGCCTTGGCAGGAGAAATATGAGGTGGTAGGAAGAATATACTATGGAGGAGTAAACACACAGTAAATTATAACTATGTTCAAATTCTTTTAAGTGTTTTCAGAATGGAAGAGTTTTCCCCCAAAATACAATTTGATTCCTAATTGTTTCTTGTTTCCCAAATTCAACTCAGCTAATGCACTTTCTGTACACTTTCAAGTGCTCTACCACTGGAACCATGCTCAGCCCCCCTTTTTTCTTAACTTTTAGAGTTCATTATGATTTGCTGTCCTTGGGAAACTTTCAGTGCCATGCATGTTAAGCTCTCAAGGAGCTCCAATCCCTCTGAGGTCACATTCCTGAAGTTCTAATATGCATGAGAATCACATCAAAGTGATGATAAAAATGCACATTCTTGGGCTCCTTCCTCAGTGATATTGATTCTGAATGCTTGGTTTGGGACCTGAGAATATGTGTTTTAGTAAGTATCCCAGGAGATTCTGATTTGACTACACAAGGACTACACTTGAAAAATGCTAATGTAAATACCTTAGTAAGAAATGTAAATACCTTAGTAAGAAGCTAGATGTGCTGTGCTAGTCAACTTAGTGCCAGTGACTACTCTAGGCTTAGCATAATCTACTTCCAGTCCTTCTAGCCCTCTTCACTAACACCTTACTTACTTGTCTAACCCATTAGACTCTAAGCACCTTGGCTGTAAGAGATGTGGCTTGTTTGTCATTAGGCAGGCAGTACCCATAACTAAAAATCCCCTGTACCAGTCACTAAATGACTTGGTAAGTGGGATTTCTAGGGAAAAGGTTTTGCTTAAGTCAAGCTTTGGATCCCTTGTGCAGATTCTAAAATCTGGTTCATTTGCACACACTAATTAATATGCACTAAAGAATGAATCAGGGAGCAGGGCAGTTTTCTATGCTAGAAAGTTTATTTTATTGAACACAGAGAGAAGCACATTACAAACGATGATAGGGAGGATTTGAGCAGCCAAAATGATCAGTGCTCGGGATGGGTTTACAAAGTCCACCCTAGGGATTCTAAAAGACTGATGTAGATGCCTGGGACTTTGGCAGAGGGTGGTGATGAAAACCTGACTGTATCCAGATTATAGGATGTTTAAACTGTCTTCACCTTTGGGAAAAAAATCTAAATTTTTCAACTTGATGAAAAAGCCAAATAGGGGTTTGGATGCCAGAGTGTCATTCTGTGGGGATGACAGGGGCTTAGCAGCAGGGGCTCAGAAGCAGGGGTTGCAGCAGGAGGTCCTGCAGGTGGTGCGGCAGGGCGCAGGCTGGCAGCAAGGGGGCCTGCAGCAGGGCGCCTGGACAGAGATGGGCTGGCAGGCGGTGGACGCCCAGCAGCAGGGCCTGCAGACCACGGCGGTGCAGGACGTTGGGCAGCAGGTGATGGGGCGGCAGCAGCCCTCCTGCAGGCCACAGGGGTCACAGCAGATGGGGCGGGGGCTGGGCTCACAGATGGGGCGTGTGCAGTGGGGCACACAGGTCACAGGGCGGCACACGGTGGTCTGGCAGGACACGGGGCGGCAGCAGCAGGGGTCACGGCAGCAGCAGGGCTGGAGGCAGCCTCCGCCACAGCTCTGGGAGGAGAAGGAACCACAGCAGGTCATGGTGGTGTCTGGATTGGTGTGGGATTAAGGAGTTGAGAGCAGTTGAGTGTTTTCAGGTGTGATTTCTCTCTCCCTTGTCTGGGCCCTTTATATTCCTGGCTGGATGCTGATGACCCCTCTTGTTTATCTTTTGGCCAATTAAGAAGAATTTTGCTTGACCAGTGGTTGGCACATGATCTCATTAAAGAATTCTTGTTACATATCTCAATATGACTATGTTCACACTGTTCATCATGAAAACCTAAAAATTCACAGCCATTTGAGATGTTAGCTGCTCTTTCAAATGATAGGTAATTGTGCATTTCTGTGGAGTACAGGGTGATGTGGTTACATTTATACACTGTATTGATCATTTCTACATTGTGATTGAGATGGAGAGGTTATTCATCATCTTAGACATTTATCATTTTTTTGTGATGAGACCATTCAAAATCCTCTCTTCTAGCTCTTTGATTATGCAATACAATATTGTTAAGTATGACCAACCTCTGTGTAATAGAATACCAGAACTTATTCCTCCCATCTAGTTGTGACTTTGTACCTATTAACCAGTCTCGCCCTGCCCCACCATCTTTTGATGCTCGTTTTGAGTATACAGCACCTAGTTAAACCTGCAGAAAATGGTTCTCTTAAGAGAACCTCAGTTTTTAAAAGAATTTAACATAGAGGAATTTGTAGCATACTAACTAGATTTTTCTCCCCCAACAGCTTCCCTGGAAGGTCCTACCCATGAGTCAGACAGGTGTTAGGCACATCCTTCCATGGGATACCTTGGGAATATATTTGCTTATCATTTGATATAGAAGAATGTGTATGCCTTGAATAGGACAGGAGCTCATGGACAGAAAATCAAAAGTGTATTTTTGTAAACCATATAAGTATTGGAACAAACTATCTAAGACTGTCACACATTTCTTTTCTTTTTTTAAATTCAGGTTGTGTGTGACTCTAGTCGTTCTGGTCACAGAGAGCTAATTTTTATCCCCCAACCATGGGGGATAAATATTTACCTTTCTTGTTAATTTTAAATATTTACCTTTCTTGTGTATGTAATGAAAAGTTTTATCATGGACAATTTTTTTCTTAATATACCTTGACTTAGGTGCTATGACTGCCAAGTGACATGATGGAGGCTTTCTCAAACAACATTGCAAACATATCAAATGATACACTGTTCAGAAGTGTGTTGGGAGGCTGCCACATAGTTTTTTCTTGCTGTGACTCTGCTGAAAATGTAAGGGATATGATTCTTTCAGAAGCGTGGATGGGGTAGTGTGGGAACTGCTTGAGGGAGTAGTCTTTACTTTCCAGTTTTATCCCTCCTGTTATTTGCTACACAGCATCACTTTAGGATTATTCCCATCATTCAAAAGAATGTGCCTTGGGCACATTTGGAAACACCTAAAATTCCCCAAATGAAATTTAAAACATCATTCCAAAACTTGAAAAGGGATGTGTATTGACTCATTGGCACAATTAGGGAGACAGGGGAAGGAGAAACAAAGCAGTCTCAAAATTAATGACCTTCCACTCTCTCATGTTGCACATTCTTTAGTTCAGAATCATGGGGTTCCCCCAC